CCAGCTTCAGATAAACATCACCACCAATACCTCTGCAGTCTTGCGGGCCCGCCTTCCACTCCCACCTGGTACAGGTCTTATCTCCAGAGCCTCCTACCAACACCCGCTGCACTTCCCCCACTGGATTCTGTGCTGCAAAGGCTAGGCTCATTGTCCTTAAAAACAACAACAACAACAACAACAACAACAAAAACCAAACTCCTGAGGCCATGGACATGGCCCCCTTAGGGCAGGTTCTGAACAAAGGACCTATACCAAGAAACAACGCACATGTCTATGACACTCTGGAAATGACTTCAATGTTTGGCAGACTTCTTCAAACTCATGATTTATCATTCAAACTGGGACGCTTGGAAGTAAAAGGGGGAACTATCTAGTAGTCACACTGGGATAGCAGGATGGTGGGGCCCTCCTGGGCAAACAAGTGGCACAGTCACCTTTACTTCATCCCTGGATTCTCGTAGTTCTTCCATCACAGTGCCCGGAATGCTCTCCTCCAAACATATGGCCCACTGACTGTCCTCGTAATGATCTCGGCTTGATGGAGTGGTTATGACATCGCCTTCCTAAATAAGATGAGGGTTCTAGCTTGGTTGGAGAGCATAGTACAATGCTTACTAATCAACACCCATTCATTAGGATCTGGCTGACATCCACCTCTCCCATCAAGTCTTCTGACTGTACCAATGCCGTACTCTCTCCTTTCGCAGGCGGTTTGAGCACAGGCTGTGTGCCTGGCTTGCGTGCTATCATAGCCGGCCTGGTATTCCTCCACAGTGGTTCAGAGCACTGGCTCTGGAGCCGGGATTCTACGTTCCAACCTGGCTTGGGCACTCACTAGCTTTAGGACTTTGGGCAAGTTATTGAAACTCTTTGAGCACTAATTTTCTCAATATCTACCTCATAGGGTTGGCTGAGAGGATCGAATGTGTTACTTGTATTTAGAACAGTATCTGGAACAGAATAGGAGTTATAGAAGCATCAGCTCTCACTGTCACCTTAAGGCAATAATATTGTCAAATGCCTGTTTAAAAAAAATAGCCCCTAGAGAGCCCTTCCCAACGTATGCACACAGTGTGTGTCAAAAATACTTCCCAACAGGTATTTCCCACAAAGGTATGGGATGTCTGAGAAGCTAAGTGCTCCTGTGGTAACAAACCTGGTGACAAAGGAGCCTGTGTCAAGTCTGAACAAAGGAACAAGGGCTCCGATATACTTTAATCCTCTTCCCTGGCGGCCTCACATCAACACTGTCCACAGTCTAGTTCCTGTGACAGCTGGAATGGAGCAGATGGCCGGTGGTTTTACACTTATCTTACTTGATCGTCACACAAGGGCAGATGGGGCTGGTAGGGCAGAGAATGATCCCAATTTGACTCAAAGAAATTGAGACTCAAGGGGTACAGTGGCCTGCGAGGTTACAAGCCAGTGTTTCCTCCCGACATCACCGGGAAAGGCACCTGTAACATCCGCCTCTCCTGGAGGCTGCTTCTGGGTCGTCACTGACGTCCCTGACCGCTGTGCTTGGCTTGCTGTCTTCCTGTCACCGCCCACCACTCCCTTTGCTGGCTCTTCCCTCCTTCCTACTTTAAACTTGATGGTTCTTTCTCTAGTTGAGCCTTGGCCTTTTCCCTGCCCAATCCTCCCTGCTGATCCAGCCCATGTTTCAAATTCCCCTTCCATACAGCAGCCTCCCAAATCTGTCAGCAGGCTGACCCATCGCCTGAGTCACAGCCCTCGTTTCCAACTGTGTTTCAAGCGTTTCATTTGAGGTGGCCCCAAACACCTGAAACTCAAGGACACCCAAGCCAACTCCCTCTGGTGTCTTCTCCTCCTCCCACCAACTTTTCTTCCAGTCTTCCTGACTCTTTGCATTCCCACAGCCTGTGGATCTCATACCAAATACCCGCCCCCAGCTCTCCCGCAGCCAATCAGCTATCACACTCCGTCCAGGCGAGAGTGGCGACGTTTCTCACACCTACCTCCTTTCTGTTTCCGGTGCTAGGTCCCATCCCCTCCCCTCCGTGTACAACGGTTGCCTGGCAGGTCTCCTCCTTGTAGTGACTCCCTGCTCCTGCAATCCCTCCGTTAACCTTCCTGATGGGGAGATCCTCAAAGCCTTTTCCCAGGAGTTCGGGGTTCCTGAGACCCAGAAGAAGGTGAGACTTAAGGGTCTGATTTTGTTGTTATATTATGTACTATGACTCTAATTAATATATATATTTTTAAAGGGTTGCTAAAATACAGTTTGAAAACATAGTTCTAATTTCAACCCTCATCTGTACTCACAAAGGAGAAAAAAAGACTAAGTGATTCCCCTTTGGCAGTGCAGGAACATCACCATGACTTTCAGGCCCTCCACGAACCTGCCTCAGCCTCCTTGCCAGCTGGTTTCCACAGGGCTCTCCTCCCTCCCCAGCAATGTCCTGGCTTGCCTGCCTTCACTCCCTGCACACTTCCTGGACTTTCCTTCCTCCTTTCTTGCCATTTCCTCTATCTGTACTCCCCACCTCTCCTCCCATGGCCTCTTTTTTCCCCACCGCCTCCTCCTCAGGGTGCTACCGTCCTCAAGGCCCCCTTCCTCAGCTCTCCTCCTGTGGCATTGTAGGAGCAGGTCTCCCATTAGACTTGAGAACTTTGTCTCTTCCACGTCACCAACAGTAGCTGATGCAGGACCAGACTGCATATACTCCAGGCTGCCCCGGAGGACACCCAGGTATGGCAAGAGCTCAGCAAGTGGGCGATCGGTGCTGACAGGGCCACCCGCCATCCCATCTCAGCATACCCACGCGACGTGGGGGAACCACTTATCACTTCTCTCTTGTCAAAGTGGTAAAAAGTATGCTCCAACAGATACAGGCTAAATCAACACCACCGACCAAAACCTGACACAGACAATTTCACTAGAGAATGACTGCCACACAGAAAGAATCCCAGAAAGTATTTTCTACAGTTTCATCTGGAATGAAAAGGGCACTGGGTACCGCATGATGGTACTCACTCTCACTTGTTCATCATCACGTTATTTTATTTTACCACATAAAGGATTTGATGTGTATATACAGGTCTCAGAACTTATTCAAGATTATTTAAAAATAGACACTTATGAAGAAATCAGTGGATAATTGAGCATTGAGGGGGGTCTAATTCTTGAAGCAATATTTTTACTTAAAATAACTGCATTGAAATGAATTTTTTTTGAGACAGGATCTGACTCTGTTACCCAGGCTGGAGTGCAGTGGTGCAATTTCGGCTTACTGCAGCCTCTGCCTCCCAGGTTCCAGCGATTCTCCCACCTTAGCCTCCTGAGTAGCTGGGACTATTGGCACATGCCACCACAGCCAGCTAATTTTTGTATTTTTTGGTAGAGATGGGGTTTCGCCATGTTAGCCAGGCTGGTCTCGAACTCCTGGCCTCAAGTGATCCACCTGCCTCAGCCTCCCAAAGTGCTGGGATTACAGGTGTTGAGTCACCAAACCTGGCCTGAAATGGATTTTAAAGTACCCGTCACCAACTGCCCCTTTCCCCCCTCAAAAACCTACTGCACAATTGCATTAGAGTTAAAATGCCAAAGCTTCTTCGTTTTAAGGTGCTTTCGAAATCCTAGAGCAAAACGCAATTTAACGCTTAGCTATGACTGAGGAGTCTAGCTCCTGGTCGAACACCGATGTGTGATCCTTCATGCCAAACCATGGTCAATCATAAAGACTGCCTGGTGGGCCTCACGGGGGCAAGCTACACTCCCCAGCCCTGACTTGTGCATAGCCAGTGCACGACAGGTTCTGGGGGCTGCAGTCAAGGACTCAGCCCACCTCCCGCAGTCCATGCTCTTCCAGAGCTATGTGCATTCCTGGCTGGGTGCCTTCTTCAGAGGGATCTGTTCCCTTCAGCCAAGTCCTCCCTCAGGCACCTCAGCTGAGACTTCCTGGGGAACGGGAGCTTGAAGCCACTTTTCTCCACATCTGTGCTGATCCAAAATGGAATCCACAATTGTTTCAATAAAGAAACTATGGCATATAGATACACAATGGAATACTATTCAACCTTGAAAAAGGAGATCCAGCCATTTGCCACAACATGGATGAACCTAGAGGACACTAGGATGTAAGCCAGGAACAGAAAGATAAGTAGTGCAAGATCTCACTTAGCTGTGGGGTCTTAAAAAAGTCAAATGTATAGAAGCACAGAGTAGCACTGTAATTACCAGAGGCAGGGGGTGGAGGAGGGCGAGATGCAGGTTAAAAGGTACGAAGCTGCAGTTACGTAAGACGAGTGAGTCTAGAGACGTAACGTACAACATGAGGACGACAGTGAATCACACTCTATTGTATGCTGGAAATGAGAAGAGACCTTAGGTGCTCTTTCCACACACCCACACATAGGAAACTGTATGAGGGCTATGCTAGTTTGCTTGACTGCAGTAATCACTTCACTCTGTAAATGTGTATCAAAACATCCTGTTGTATACCTTAAATATACACAATAAAACAACGTTTAAATACCCCCAAAACAAAACTGATCCAAAATAGGGGGCAGGGGTGCCTTCTCTGCTGTAGCCTTGCTCGTATTCCCGCAGCCACTGAGCACAGACAGGCTCGGCTGTGCCTTTCACTTGGCTGTTGTCTGCACCAGCACCTCCCACACCTGGCAGCTCAGCTCCCTGGCTCCGCTGAGCTCCTGACCGACTCCAGTTACTTCATTCTTCTGATCGAGCACTCTCACCTCTCATTTTGAAGAATATGCGGTGACAATTGCCAAGTGGGAAAGCAACAGAATCAGGGGAAGTGAGTGCTAGTCTAGCTCTAGCACGAAAAGTACCAACAGTATGGCTCTGGTCGGTTGCTTAATTTTGGGGGCTTAGCCTTCTTGTCTGCAAAATGAGGTAACTCAACTATATATTGCTGAATATTCCTTTCAGGTCTAATATGCCAGATTCTATGAATTATGCTTCTTAAAACTATCTTCTGAAAAAGTTAAGAAAAATAAAGTGGCAGAATAAGACTAACATTCTTCTTTTTCTTTTATTTTTTAAAGGTCACCTTTACAAAGTAGCATTTAAAAATAAATCCATCTCACAACTCAAAGAAATTTCTGACAGTACTGCCCTCATGCTGGTCAGTCACTGTTTCCTCTGTGTCTGCCACGTGCCAGCGCACATACACAGCTCTTCCTCTTCTTTCCTGGGAGCAAACCCTTAGCGCTTCTTCCAGGTAAACTTTCTGCGGGATCCCTCTTGGCCTGGCTTCTTCCGTTCTCTCACACGTGGATCAGTAGTGAGGAGTCCAGCTGCAGCATAAAAACAGAAGCCTTTAGGAACCATTAATATGCATGCTGCCAGGAAGAAAAGCAGGTTCGTGAATTTATACGTACTGTTGTCTGAGAAAAAAAATTAGAGGAAAGCAACCAGCCCAGTAATTTACCCGCCCAGTATCAACCTCGTGACGGCAGTTTGCTTCCACTCTTTGAGGATATTTTTCCAACCTCTGAGACAAACACCAGTTACGTTATTTAAACCTGCTTTCCTTATCTTGTAAGAATCATGGTTCCCTTTTGGCTTTTCAGCTGGCCTCATCTAAGCGAGATAAAGCTGCTCTTGTGGGGGCGGTCACTATTCACTGTAAAGGAACTTAACCTGCACACTTACTAGTGCAGAGGCCAGAGTTTTAATGGAGACAAGAGGCAGAGAAGAAAAACTTACTGTAAAGGTGAAGTATGAGAAAGTACTTAGATATCATCTATTAACAGTTTACATGAATATGCATATACATACAAATATGACTTGTCAAACATTTAAAAAAGGAAACTTATTATTTTAATTTATGCCATAATATTCCCTGTTTTTTTGTTTGTTTGTTTGTTTTAGAATCTAAAAGATAAGTTTTAGAGTTGTATTCTCAGCACAGGCAGTTTCTTCTAGAAGAATAAAGTCAGTTGAAACAGGAAACTGTCATTCTCCCAGTCATCAGGAGTGAGTATGTTTCTAGGCAACTGCTGGGGTGACTCCTAGCTATGGCCCACACGGAAGAGCCCAGCAGTGGCTGCAGCTATAGTAAGTTAGTAAAGACCACAGATTCCAAGAATACCACTGATGGGAAAGCTCTTACATTGCTTTTATAAATATGTAAATGTACTTTTTCCTTGTCTTTTTCACTCTTCCAACGTTAGCACTCCTCTTACTGTATACAAGGGTTGGGTATTTTATTAAGGACCATTTAATGTACATATAGCAACACTTCAATTATTTATTACATACCCGTAAGCTTTTACACTTGCTTGTACTTAAAGGACATATATGGAATAAAACAGCGGTATTTGACAAAATACAGACAAGACCTAAGTTCTAGCTTCAATTGTAAGTAAGAATGCTTTATTACTTTCAGATATGCACAGGAGCTTAAACTAATCAAATTGTTAAGGTTCTAGCAAATTACTTCAATGACTAGATATGAATCCCATATGATGACAAATTGCTTATAAGCAAATGGATTTTTAAGAACCTTAAGCAATTAAGTAGCCTAAGCCATAGGTAGTGTTTTTATTGAACCCCAGTGGCTTGTACTAGCAGGTCTGGTGCCCAGAGACCATCCTTCTTGCCCAGAGGAGGAGCTTATGAACTTCGGTGCTAAGTGATTTGCTCAGGACCATGCAGCTGGCTGACAGCACACACGGTGCTTTCCTCTTCTCACAAACAGTGCGAAGATAGTCTTCAGCTCAAACTTCCCTGATTTATTCTAACTGCTAAAGCAGTACCCTAATGAAAGAATCAACTGCCCATCCTTTTTCACATTACACAGGGACTCTTGTATTCATGCTCAGGTAACAGGGTTACACAGAGTAGGGTAAAAGAAAATTCAAACACCGCAATGGGAAAAAATGGAAACCTCCAATAACTTACAAAAACAAAATACTCAAAGAACTTTATCATTAACCAAACAATTATTACAAATTTCGATGACAGACCAGGTGTGGTAGCTCATGCTACGTAATTTCAGTGCTTTGGGAGGCCAAGGCAGGATTGCTTGAGGCCAGGAGTTCGAGAACAGCCTGGGCAACATAGCAAAACGCAGTCTCTACAAAATACACAAAAATTATCCGGGTTTGCTAGTGCACGTCATAGTCCTAACTACCTGGGAGGCCGAGGCAGGAGGACTGCTCGAGCCCAGAAGCTTGAGGCTGCAGCTAGCTATGATTATACCACTGCACTCCAGCCTGGGTGACACAGAGAGACAGTTTCAAAAACAAAACACCCACACATTTCTTGATAAAACAAAAACAAGCAATTTGTCTCTTAAATATAACTAAGCTAAGCACTTTGTTAAGCTGGACAAAAGGTTATGCATTAAGGACAAAATTAACTTTTCCCTGAGCTTGGAACTGAACATTTTAGCAGGGCTCAAATAATCAGTGCGGGCAGTTCTCCCCTTTTTCTAATTCAAGCTCACCTTGTAGAAATCAAACCTGAGAAATACTGTTGGTTCTGTAGCAAGAAAGAAGATAGCGAAGGGAAATATTACATATGTAACTATGTATTTTCTCATGAACTTCAGGCACTGGTACAAAAAACCGACGAGCATGTATAGCCAGTATTGGGCCACCATGCCCGTCCCACCTAGACTCATACCTTGTCTCATCCACTCGACCTCGTCCTTGGTGACAAAGCTGCACAAAGCTTTTGCCATTGCCAATCGTATCGCTCCAGCCTGCGCCGACCTCCCGCCCCCTGAGACTGTGCAGGTCACATCGTGCTTTCCCAGCCGGTCCACAAAGTGGAAAGGGAACATCAGCTGTTCTCTAAAGCACAGCACAAGAAAATGTGGTTACATTTACTATAAAGATACATAATTATGTAAACACCTGAAATTCTGAATATTCATAAAAACAATATTCTGCATGCCACTGTTATACTTTCCATACTTCTCAATCAATCCATTTTACCAAGATATAGAAACACATTTCTGACATTTCGAATGATTTGCTGAGAGTTGTAAGGTTTCTTTCTTTTTCTTGGGTATAGCAGTACACTCTATCTTACTGTTTGCTGATCCCCTTTACCTCAGAAGATCTTTGCAAAGCTTGAAAATAACTTCGTAAAGAAGTCTTACAGTTGGGGAACTCCATTAATCAACTGAATTTAATGTCTCTGGATTGAATGATCAGATATAAAATCAATAGGCCTTCCCAAACAATTATCAAATGTCATTTGGATTCCCTAAATATACTATAAATATATCTGTATAATGCTCATCTTGATATGGTTAGTTTTTAAAGTTTCTAAAACTGTATTTGACCTTGCACTTCCCTGACACCAAACGCATATTCCCAATATTCTTACAGTTCTCTAAATCACAGGGTCCTGCTACCTTCCTGGGGCCAGGCTGACATTCTACACAACCCCTGGCAGGCCTGCTCTCTCAGGGTTGGTCAGGGCCCACGAGACCCTGGGGCAGGCACCACAGACAGAACATGGCCCTGGACTTGTTCTTGCTCAACTCAACAAGTATTTGTTGAATACCATTTTCACGCTAGGGAAGATGTTCACCATTACCTTTGTCAAGCACTTTGATTTTGCTATTTTGCCTTAATATCTTGCTACACTTTTATTCAGAAAAGCTCAATTATATTGTATTTGCTTTCTTTGACACTGTAGCTTCTGGACCCAAAATAAAGTTTATATAACACAGTTAAGCTGAGACACAGGTGTGGACAGGACATGCAAGTGCTATTCTTCATACCACACTAGTAAAATAATCACATGCAGATGGGCAAAAGATGACTTTCAAAAGCCACAGCAAATCGGAATTAATAACAATACGATCTAGGGATGACATAACTCCTACAACAACAAAAAAAACCCATAAACCTATACTGTCTTTTTGAACAAATGCTTCCAAGAAACCAAATAAAAAGTAGCCATAAGTTATAAAAACAGTATTATAAGTAGTAGCTATTAATATACTATGATAACTGAAGAAAATTTCAGCTGGGGACCTGCAGTCCAAGCTGTCAAGAGGCTGAGGTGGAGGACTGCTTGAGCCCAGGAGCTTGAGTCCAGCCTGGGTGACATAAAGAGACTTGTCTCTTAAAAAAAAAAAAAAAAAAAAGTGAATATAGAAGAAAATTTAGGCTGAGTGCAGTGGCTCATGCCTGTAATCCTAGCACTTTGGGAGGCCGAGGCGGGCGGATCACCTGAGGTTGGGAGTTTGAGACCAGTCTGACCAACATGGAGAAACGCCGTCTCTACTAAAAATACAAAATTAGCCGGGCCTAGTGGTGCATGCCTGTCCAGCTACTCAGGAGGCTGAGGCAGGAGAATCGCTTGAACCTGGGAGACAGAGGTTGTGGTGAGCCAAGATTGCGCCCTGGGCAACAAGAGTGAAACTCCGTCTCAAAAAAAAAAAAGAAAATTTACAGACTGAAAATCTAATTCCACTATTGCATTTACCTAACCATCTGGGTCCATGACTCAGTTATATAACTAGTAATTACGTTAAGAAATCTATTTTTCTAGATTTTAATTGAAGTCTCTTTATTTATCTTTATTTATATAAGCATTTGTTAAAGAATCATAAAATTTTAAAAATGAAGCCGGGTAAATGTTTAACCTCCCAAACAAACGGCTGTCCAGAAGCCTCCCTTGTAACTTCACTTACGTGGCTAACCCACTTAACTGTGTGTTAGGTGATGAGAAAACTCCGATCAAGATCCCTGATTCCGGGTTCGCAAGTCTTCCTATTAGTCAATGATCACCTCACTGCTGATTTGTAAGTTCCTGACGTGGCTGCCCTAAATCCCGATAACTACTTTAAAATAGTTGTAGGTGCCCATTCCCACCAAGACTAGCCTTAGGCTTCCCAACCATGTAGGAAGTTTCTTGCCAATAGGAATCATATCTCAAATATCTCTGATATCTTCACAATGCCTAGAACAAGACCGGAGAAACAGATGATCCTTAGTAAATAGCTGCTGAATTCAAATCAAAGAATAAGATCTAAGAATGTAATTTCATTATGAGATCAAGCCATAACTGAGACTTGCTGTTAAATCATCAGGAGTTATGTCTGAATACAAATCAACAGACAGGTTATTGGTTAAAGGACATTCCTCCTACAGTTCCCAATGCTAAAGTTACCAGCCCCCGGAGTATGGGTTTCTCTCTGGCTTTTCCTAAGGGAAACAAAAGCTTCCTCCATCCCCTGCCCTGTGAGGATAATAGCAGAACTAATTCATCTTAAATGGAGTTAAGAATCCACTGCTTGTTGACACAGGCACACACAAATAAAATAAACATACACATCCTAAAGTAATGATTGTGTCCAGAAGTTTACACTGTATTAGGAGGTTCCTCTTTTGCCTACATCAGCATTGGTATCAAAAGAGCTTTAGCCCTTTTGACCTTAAATACCGTGAGACATGCGGGAAACAGGAGAAGGATTAGGAAAGGAGGAACTAATCATACCAAACTTCTGTTACTCGTGGATAATGACAGTAACTTCTGGGAAAATAATAACCATATCAAGAAGAGGCCTTTATATAGCAAGTCAGAGAGCGTTCTGAGATGAGTATATTTAGATTAGAAGAGCTGTAGTATCTATGTATGATTAATGCCTATTTCTCCATAGGATACAAAGTTTAAAAATTAAAACTGCCATATTTAGCACCCAGAACTAAGAAAAGCCTGATGAGTTCTTACTTTAACCCATAAATGCCAGGTTTCTTTGCTTGCTCAATACATATAATCACATTCCTCTGAATAGGAAAATAATCCAAAATGATAAAGCAGAATTTTTCCAATATTTATGATCAGAAAAACAAACACAAGCCACAAGAAATTACTTGCACTTTTCCTTGCCTAGTGGATTAGGTCAGTTTTAAGTGCCAAGGCTGGTTTTTGTGGTGATTGTTTTGTGCACACCTGTCCCCAAACTAGAAGGTGGAAATCTACCTTTCTTATGTTTTGGCACAGTCTGCACTTCAGAACATAAGCTACATATAAGACTACTCAAACTGCAGTAGGATCTGATGAAAAGGGGAGTAAGAGTCAATTAATGAGGAATTCTAGAGATGCTTTTTAAAAAATCAGGAAGCTGCTTTAAAAAATAGCTTCAATTAGCTAGTTTGATATGTTACATTGGTAAAGAGAAATAATCATTCAGATAAACAGAATTAGAAGATCACAAGCCTTCTTAAATGATCACGATGTATCACAAAGCATGTTTCCTTTAAAAACAAAAAAACCAAAACCCAAAACGAACCTGTCCTGTGTGACGGGGAAGTAATGCTGGTAATCAATTCCATTTACTTTTATTCTCCCACTTCCATGTTCATAAACAATTGCTTCTGCTTTTGCAGTCTTTCTTTTACCTTCAAAAATATAAAATTCCTATTAGTAAATATCTTGAAGACCTGTGCTTTGAGACAGGTAAAACTACATTAGAATTTGTTTCCCCAAAATAATATACAACACTGTATATAAGCAGGTCCTATAACTATTATTTCAAGTCAAACCAAAATAAAGCAGGTAAACTACACCACAACAGATGCAATAAAGCTCACTGTGGGGTAATTTTGTTCTTCAATTCCATTTTAGAAACACCACAATGATTTTAAATTAGTTTGAACAACCAAGAAAGTAATTTATATTCATTTCGCTTACTTACGAGAATCCACAACCAATTTACACAGCGTTTTTCTTTCATAAACAGTAAGAATATATCTAACAACATAAGTTTTAGAAATATATAAATAGTACGACGAAATATTACTAGTAGAAATAAAAAAATACTCAGGAAAGGTCACATTTCTTTGAAAACACCACAGTAGTTAAAAACGACAATGATGAGAAATCTTTTAAGAGTTGTAAACATTTTAATAGGTCAAGTCTTCAAAGCTGGACTACGTCTAACGGCTCTGAACAAGAATAATGTGAGTTAGGGATGTGAAGTTTTCATATTACATAGTTTCGGCATTTGATATGCAGATTCACTGAGCATTTTCATTTTTTGCAAGGAAAACTTTATTATAAATATTGTGCCAATTCTAGCAGCTTAAAATGTGAAAATTAAAAGATTTAATAATATAAATGTGTGAAAATAAAAAGTGTTAATATGACTGTATAGGTATGCATCCACATTTTTTTTCTTGGGATATTATAAAGTTCAGTTTTGAAAAACTTCAATAGAATCTTAAAAATTAGGAAATCCAATGTAACAGTAGCAAAAATAAATAAATAAAAAATGTAACGGATAACAGAGAGCAACAGCAAATAAAAAATAATTGTAGTTTTTCAACCTTCACTGAATTTATTTTCTCTCCACAGAACGTCATTACCTTCGCTTTTGCTAAAGGCCATTCCTTGCTCGTCATACTGTACAGGTTGAATCAGCTGTTTTTTTGATGCAACAGCTATATTTCTTCGAAACCTCTGCACAAATTCTTCCTCAGCAGCACCGCACCGCGATGTCAATAACTTTTCTAGCAGCTGAATGAGTTTCACATACTGCAGACAATAAAAATTCATTAGAAGGTGCAAGTGTAATTGCATTTGCTAAATTTTTTCTATTTTTGCATCCTTGATCTTTCCAATGTTGCTTTTCCTGATGAATTTTGACAGGATGACACTTCTGCATCTTCACGCTGCTTTTAAAACAGCATGCAGATGCATCACTTTTCCTGCGTATCTTTAGTGCCAAATCTTTTCTTTCAAGAAACAAAGAGATTTATCATTCAAAGAAAAATCAATTTCTCTGTATTATGATTATGAAATTTAGATTTAAATTCACTTTCAAAAAGTATTTAGATGATCTTCAAGTGTAATTTCCACTCTTTTATTAGAACTGTATCAAGTGGAGCTTTATAAATAATTTCAAGTAAGTTATGTATAGTAATATGGAAAGAGTTTGATTTTGAGAAAATGTACCTCTTAAATTATATTTCATAATACATTTGGCAAATATATCTTTGGCTGTTCAAGCTGTGTTACTTTAATGTTTATGATTTCCTTTAAAACCGAACAATCAAGCTATTTAAAAATTCAAGAGATACTTGACTTAAAGGGCAACCTCTTGAAATAAATTATCCTTGCTCCTGTGTGCATTTTTTTTAATAGTTCTTGAACATGTGATTAGAAAGTAAACAACTTGGAATTAACCCCTTAAAATTAGAAGCCAGAATAATCACTCTAAAGTGTTTATGGAGAAGGAAACAACTAATGCTTGAGATTCTTAGTTAATATGGATTGTGAAACTCAGTCTTTGATAGCCTTCTTTATGTTTTTTGTCAGCCTTAAATATCATACTCATCTTTGTCACTATTGCCTTTATTGTAAAAATCTGCCATTAATAGTTTGAAATTTTTAAAAATCTCACCAGTAAGATTAATATTAAAAGAACTACTTTGACTCCAGCTTCCTATGACGTAATGAAAGAGAAGGCACTCTTCTAGTAAGGGTGAAACATTTAGCTACCTAGGATATTGGGTGGACGGAGCTCCATGCTCCTCTCCAGTCACCCGTCTGGACGTTCTGTGCTTAGCTACTCTCTCGATTCCATCTCACAGACTCTCAATGACTACTTTTGCACCTACAAAGGGGCACTACGGGTGGAACTCAGCCTTGCTTCTGAACTAGGTTAAGAAGTCACTGACCACCTCCACATCCCTCATCTCGATACCAGCCATAAACATCAGGATTTCTTCTGATATCCAGTACCCCAAAGGACAAAGTATCATATATAACTTGTTTCCTTTGTTTTCATACTTGTACACCTGCATTAAAGTTCTTGGGATATTACAAAGCAGAAAAAAGAATACCTAAGTTATTTAAAAAAAAAAAAAAAAAATCAAAGCAGCCAGAAACAGAGGAAGTAATGAAATTACTCCGTAACGAAAAATGAGATTTTTCAGTTGAATTCAAGTCCAGCAGTACTTGGAAGTTAGGATATTAGAAATTAACGCTGGATCCACCACTAACCAAATGTCCAACACTTTGTTTAAGCAAACTGCAACTTCTCCAAATCATTAATTTCTATAATACATTAAATGAGAAAAAGAACAATTCAAGTACATGACTTAAAATCTATATATGGTGGCAAAGTACTAACAACATTAGCCACCACCATCAAAGAAAAACTCCATCTTGGAAAAATTTATGAAATTGAAAAATTTCTGGAAGATTTACCCAATCTTCCAGAAAGTAATAAATTTGGAACATCGAAATGTTTAAGACATCAACTGTCCTGTGATAATGTTGATATAGTAGAACATTTAACAATATAGTAGAACATTTAGTAGACCTAAAGCAGGGGGTCACAAACTTTATAGGGTATAAGATTCATCTGGAAAGTTTGTTAAAAAGATTCCTGGGTAACCCCTTAGAGACTGCGCTAGATCTGGGGTGAGGCTTAGGACTCTGTAGTTTGTAACCAGCATTTCAAGGGATTCCGATAGAGGTGGTTTGCAGATCCCAAGATAAAAACCACTGACCTTACAGATATGGCACACAAGGTAAACAGTAAATTGCATGAAGGTAACCATGTGCTGCATCCCTTTTCAACTTAACTGATAATGACTCCTTACACTTATTATCAGCTTGTAAAATTAGCTACTGGCCTTACAGAAGGAGATCAAACAACATCTGCTGTGCTTCCCTAAAACAACTGGCACAGGACATGAGGGCACTTATGAGAGGAGGACCTGGAGACTCGGCAAGGCACCTCCTGACCACAGATAAGGTCATCCCAAGGCAGAAATCAGGGATGAATGTTTTTTTTTTTTTTTAAAGATAGAAAGAAAAATCATCTTAGGAACACCTGCTTTGAGGAACATTACTATTAGGATCCTAAATACAACAATTGTCTGCATTCTTATGGCACAGGTCCCCTTAAATTAAAAAGATTAATTACTTACATCTTGATCTGACAGGTTTTCCACTAACATTTCTTCTAGTTCCTCCTTAATCAGCCATCTGCTGCCAATCAGGTTTCTGTTAAAATATCACATATATTCTCTTTTTAATTAGCCATGCAATTAGAGTTATATCACAAAAGATCCCACATATAGTAGCAATTTTGTGATTTGGAAATAAGTTTTTATATTATATAGCAGTAATTTTACCCAACTAAACTATTTTTGACATACATTCCATTTCCTCAGTCTACTTTAGAAAAGGCATCTACTCTAGCTAATGTTTTAAGAGTTAAATATGCCACTATGGAACTCATTTGGTATTAAAAGCCCACCTGATTTCTTAAAGATTAAAATTGTGCCCGTATAACTTACTTCAAAGAAGATGTTATGGATACAACGTTAACCTGTCAATAGACTAATGCGGTAGCAAGTCCAACGAAAAGGACAGGAGTGCATTTAACTTAACTTAAACAAGGTGTTCCTCCTTTACGGAAGAGATCTTGGATAGATAGGCCAAAATTTCACACTGGCTGACCAGTTTGATGGATCTGATCTATTGCTGTTTGCCAAATGGAAGCAGCAACCTTGATATACCAAAACATAAAAATAAAATGTAAAAAATTAAAGCGTGCACATGCTAAATAAATGTGTAGCTATAAACATAAAAATTCTGAGGGCATCATATCCAGGTATAGTAATTAAATATCCTATCATATATAAATCTGGGATAAAAATGACATAAAAATAACTTCAAGTCATGCTTTCTCCTAAATAAAAACCACCTATTATTTTGAACTCTAACCTTAATGCTTAATGATAAAATACTGAACAAATTTTAGGCTTCAGGTATGTCTAAAAAAATACCAATGAGTGGCATGTTTTTAGTTCAAATTTTATTTATATTTTAACGCAAGAAAAGAGCTTACCTGGTTTCAGTTTTTTCTGGAAGCAGATCTTTGGCTTGCAACTGACTTTGATGTTTTTCTAAATTGAGTAACATTCCATATACATCCTATGGCAAATAAAATATACAGTACATACTAAAAATTAAGAGCAACGATACATTATAATTTCTGATATATTTTATAGTTTTCTCCTGTAAGTACTTCCTAAGGTGTCCTCCTCTTCAGAGAATCAAGCTGCAGAGTAAATAAAACTGAAAATGCTTTTAATAACACTATTTCTCATTTAAACTAAAGGATGATAGAGTAATTTCAATGAGAATTTAGTGTCATACATCACAGCACACTTAACTTTAGCTGATTTTAAAATAACTCTATAAAAATTTTACAACTCTACTTCAGTGAGGTTGGTTAAAAAAAACCAAAAACCTTAAACGATTTTCCCTTTCCTTCGGAAAAATCATTAATTTATATGGCAATGTGTACATTAAACTTAGAGAATTATCCAGTAAAATATATGGTATTTACAGGTACTTATGTATTATTTAATACAACTTACTACTTATTTAATATTTAAATAATATTTAAGTACTTATCATATAGTTTTTATCTTAAAAAGAGCTTCTATTATATTTGTTATTTGATTTCTTCCTATTAATTTACTTCCTAAAAAAATCTGTGAATGTATGTCACTTGTTAAATTACAATGGAAGTAGAAGTTTGCCATTTTGTTAGAACTTGCAAAAAGCAATAATCCAGCAATAAGGATCATCAATGAAATGTATGTTCTAGGCAATGAGTTTACAATAAGCAAAACAGTACAGCTTTTGCCTGAGCAAACTTAACTTTTTGAAACACTCAATACATTTGTATTTATTCATTTATAATTTACACATAACCTACCATACTAATACCCAATGAGCAGATAGGCATTTTAAAAGAATGAGCTAGAGATGACATAAATTTACTTTTTTTTTTTTTTTGCTAATCATGATACCTTCTAGTATCAGCAAATCTCAGAAGATACACCTTGTTACTGATAAGAGATGTCAATCCATATCTCAAACAGTCTTAATAATTTCAAGTTTTCAGGGGCAACTTCTTGTGGGCTCTGATTAGACTGCCATATTACCTCATAATGTTGCTGATAAAGTTTTATCTAAGTGTAGGAGAAACGTCCCTTTGCCCCGTCATCATATTTACTAGTGCTTGCATTTCAGCACAGTCTTCACTCTGCAACCTGTTTTCAGGAACTGAAGGAAGGAATCAAAGGAAGGAAGGAGGGAGGGAGGGAGGGAGGACAGACTAAGCCTTTGAATTTTTGTAACATAGGTGAGAAAAGCTGATATAATACTCAATGGGTAGGACTCCTCAGTGAATAAGGACGTAAAAATTCATTCCTTTTGGCTGGGGAGATTCAGGTAAGTGTTTTTGGCTTTGTTTTTCATTAAGGGTAGTAGAATTGATAGTTTAGAAGAGAAAAGAAAAAAAGAAGCAGAGACAAAAAGAAGAAACAGCACTTAGAAGCTACAAAACTGGTGGTGAGCTACACATTACCAGTGGACGTGAGTATCTCAAATTGAAAGTAAATCCATCACTCTAGCTCAGCAATTCTAAAAGTGCAGTCCCTAGATCGGCAGCAGCAGCAGCAGCAGCATCCAAGCCTAGACTGGCTAGAAATGTACATTCTAAGAACTATAGAGAATCTAGTTCAACACAATAGCAAAGGGACAAATGAAGTTAATTTAATCCTAGTATTCATATTAAGTGTAACTGTCCCTATAACTACATTCCAAGTACACATCCATCACCTGCAGCAGCAGAGGAATGTATTTGACAATTAAAAAGCAAACAAAAGCCAACTGTCCACCCTAAAGCAAAACCACAAACCATCTACATATAGAAAAACAGAGGTATATATCCACATACATATATCCCTGTCACTCAACTGAAAGTAAAAGTTTACAATTTATCTCCCAAGAATTGGTAAGCCTTGTTGACTGTGGTTAGGGTACTTTTAACTCACTTTTAAAGGCTAAAATAATGGGTTGGGACTTCAAATGGATAGTATATCACAAAAATTTCAATGCACCTGTTTCTAGAAGCAATTCTCAAATGAGCTGAACAAATAAAGAACTCCCCCACTACCCCCCAAAAAATGAATGCTCCCCACTTATATGAAATGGACAGACTCGGGCAAACAGCACACCACTATGCACCCAGCACAGCCTGTCAGCAGGCTGGACCACAGGAGACTGTGGCTCCATCGGGGTGCTCTGGTAAGGAAACTGCAGCGAGCCTCTCAGCTGCCGGGTCCAGAGTCCTGAGATTCAGAGAGTGCAAGTCTATCTTTCAAACTAGTGAAGAATATATGAACTTAAAAGAACGCCAGCAATAGTAGTAAACTGCTGAGTAATTTACTACCCTCCTCTGCTTACAAGGGCTTACTTAATTTTCTGAAATAATTAAGTCAACTAAAATAACAACAATCAACCTATCTTGTACGTAAGTTTTAAGTCAAAGGATAGGCTGTCATCTCCCAAAGACTTTTGAGCAATTTTTACTCTAAATCCTTATTTTTCTTAAAGTATTCTTCCATGATGCCATTTCCTCCTAATGTTGTACTGAGATCCATAACAATGTATAAATGGTACAAATAAAACCGTCAGAAAAAAATGTGGAAGAGGAGAAAACAACCCATGAAAAGGACATGTCAGATTTCAAACACGGTGAATTCGATTCATTTGCGGCAAATGCTTACAATTTGATGATTGTAACCCATCAAATCACATAATGCCCATTAAACCACTCCATACACTTCTTTAAATAGGAAAATATATGTAAAGTACGTACTTAGCACAGTGCCTGACCTATAGTAATGGTCAAGAATGATAGCGGGGGTGAGGTATGGCTTTCAAGAGTCAAATAAACAATTTTACTGGTGCACCATTTCCATTTATTCTTTCTATTTTGCATAATAAAACCACTCTTAAGATTCTACCTTGGTTAGTTAGAGACAACAGTTCTCTGGAAAGTAGATTCTATAGCTTTAACTCCCTGAAGAGAGGTGTACTAATTTACATAAAAAAAATCCTTACGGGTATAAAATATGCCAAGAACTGTCAACATCACAGATTACCACTGGTAGCTTCTGGTATATTGTTAAGTTTCCACTTAATTTTTAAGGGACACTAGAGAATTAGTATGACCCACCTACACTAAGTTTATATACTGTATTTAACAGTGTAATTTTCAAATATGACAGGAATAACCCAGATGTGAAATGCTGAATCATTAATCACAGCTATGATTAATATTTCATAAAATCAAAGCAAGCCTATCCACCCCTCGTGTCATCAGATTTCCATAATGTATGAGTCAAATTTAGAAGGTGCCTAATTTGAAAATACCAGATGCTCAGGTTACAGAAAAGAAATGCTTAATCTAAACCCTTCTGAGAGCATGAGCACTATGATTTTTAGTATCCTTCTGAAATCTGTTTTGGTTCTATTAAATCATGTGGAAATTCCAATTTTAGGAAGTGTAAACAAGTAACATTTCATGGGGAGGTGATATAGAAAAAGTCTGTTGTATTTTGGTACACAACATAAATAGTAACTAATAGTAATTATCTTAGATACTATATAGTAACAGTAAAGTAACTGACTTAAAATTTGTGTTTGTTAAAGAAATCACAGAAAATCATTTCTTAAATAATCTCCTCGATTTTTTGGCCGCTGGCATATACAAAATCAAATCAACAAATATAAATATAATCCATTTATCATTAACTAAGAGAGGTTTACGCTATATATCTCAAGTTCCAAGTGACATACTTCTGTTGTAGACTCTTGGTATTACTTTGTGAATACAATACAATATACTATATAGATTGCACATCATATAAATGCCATTCAACATACAAAGAAAGTCATCTCAAGATGGATCATATGAAAAAGGACTCTGGGGAAGTCCACACGCAGGAGTGATGACCTGAAAGTTCTTGTAACTCAGACAGCATATATTTTTACTATTCAAATTAAAGCCCCATCATATATTATAATAATTATACCATTACAAAGAGGTAATCTAATTAAAACCAACATAGAGACAATAATATGCTGAATCCTTTTCTAAAAAATTAATTTTCTTAATTGGTACACTTGGAGCATACCAGATATACAATGGTAATTATTCATATGGGAGGAAAATGTATATTAAAGATACCTCTAGAACAGCAATTTCGACTGCTGAATTAATTACTGAATTAACTCCTGCTGTCAAGGAAAGTCTTAAAACAGCATGCAAATATATTTTAGCACCAGTTTGTAGCTTTTTTAAAAATAAGCACTTTACATAGTTGTAGTTACTCCGCAATACCTCACTGTGAGAAGGGTCACTATTTTAATTCCATTTTAAAAGAGCACTACATCCAAGAGTTTTCAACAAGGTCACAAAGACGATCTAGAGACATCTGAACTAAGTAAGAATTCTGTGATACTCAGTGCCCAGGACTTCTGCTAAGAGTCTGGAATCTTCACATAATGAAGCAGCACACTTCTGGGGCTGCTTCCAGGCTTTAAGAACCGAGTAGGTTACTGAAGTCCTTTAAAATGAACCGGAGATTCTCCAAATATGCCAGGAGCTTCTTTCACAAGGCAAATGAACCCTGTTTACAGATGAATCTAATAAGTTATAAGGATTAGAATTACCTGGTTTTCTCTCACATTTTAAACTTTACTACTTATCCCTTCATTTTACATATATATATTTGGTATAAATTTCATCTGTGGCTATGTAACTCCTTCAGTTTAAAGAAAAAGTTTGAAAATACTGAATTGCTTACTGTAAAACTGGTTCTAAAACATAAATGAAGTTTCTACACAATGCTAAGTTCCTAGTGCAGTGTTTAGAGTTGCATACCTTCCTTTTCTTAAAGACTGAGATGAGGGGAGCTTTTGTAAAACGTCAATAAATGCTTAAGGTATTGGGGCTGATATCAGTCTTAAAACTGGGACTTTATTAACCTCTCTTTTGAGAAAATGTATTTATCTAATGCGAGTAATGCCTACAATGACAATGTATAGAGTTTTCAATATTCTGTACTACGGTCCTCCCCAAGCACTGGTCTCGTGGGACATCAAAAGGGGTTTGGAGTAGAAAGTGTTCTACAGTCCACTCGGTTTGAGCAGCAGAGTGTGAAAGCAACGTGTTTCTTTACTTAAGGACTTCACAGAGCTTGGGTTCTACTAAGTGTCTCCTTGTTAGAGTTCCCCAGTACACAATATGTAACATTCCTAAACGAACACTTCAGAGCCTCTTTCTTGAAGAATATTTCACAGTTTGTATTCTGCAGAAAGCACTTTGGGAAGAGCTGGGTTACAGACATGCCTTGACTTAATGGGTCACGTTTTACAAAAGGGTTACCACTTCAGAGTTAAATAATCCCCTCCCATTATGAGTTTTAAAGGATTTTCAACTTACTTTTAGTGAGTGAATTTTAATTTTTTTTTTTCCAGAAACATACATATTGGTAAATGTTTTTTTCTTCAAATTAAAGGACCTTCAGAAATTGAACCATGACCACCAAGGCTACGGCCTTTGTCACCAGCTTGGTTGTCCTGGACAGGCCCAAGCTGCTGTGGGAAAGGGGGTAACACTGGTGGGGTTTACAGCCTTGGATCCAACGGGCAGCCCACTCTCTAGCCTAGTCCTTTCTCCACTCCCCACAGTCTTCACCTAGGCTAGCCACAACTCGGTTATCTTGCTGTATAGCATTTTATTTTTTACACAGACATCTATATCCTCTTTAACATTCTTCCCTCTCCTTTACACCTTTGCTCAATTGTTTCAGGAAACTTTATTCTTTCTCTCTTTCTTGAAACCTAAAACCCTAAATCATGTCAGAAAAGCAAACAAGTTCTACTAGTTAAATGGACATTAAGGAAATGGGAAGCCATCCATTTTTGGTGAAAAAGCCACCATGCAGGGGATCCCTTCATGGTACTCAATGATGCTTTCAGAAACTCAGGAAGTTTCTTATTTCTTCTTAAATTACTTTTTATTAAGAAATTGTTACTATGGTTTTATACTTTTTTCATTATATACATACATCTTATTAGTGTAAAATAAATGAGTTTTTAATCGACTTTCCCAGGAACCTGAAGACACGCGGATCATTATATCCATAGGAAAATGGGGGCCCAAGTGCCCTGCAAGTGAACCTGTGGAGTGTGGCACGTTTCCAAAACGTGAGAACATCACGGATCAGCACATCCCCCTTCACTTTATACTTTCCTATCACGCTTCATTTCTGGGCAGGAACAATAAACTGTATCTTATATTTCATGGCCATTTTTCCTCAAAAACCTCCCCATTTCTCCACAGAAAGTGGACAGACTAAATACAGGTCAACTGGAAACGACCCACTAAAGCATCATACACTGATCTTAACTGCAAGGTGCATCAGCGCCATCTTTTATTAACTGCTATAACGTAATATATATGCTTCGTATGCAAACAATCACCAAATACTCAAAAGAAGATTTGGCATCTTTAAGGAGGATAAGAAAGGTTAATCAGCATTAGAAGGGTCTCCTCACGCCAACTGCACGCAGGCTCTAGATGTGTTTTCCTGTCACAACTCCTGGCCAATGGCATCTGGGCCTCACACAATTACAGTTGGGCAACGACGTGGGAAAAACAGTTTGGCTTAGTGTCTGTTACCCTGTCACATAGGGAAAAAATTCTATCAACGAAAATAAATGGTAGCAACAAGGATTCATTTCCAAGTCTTTAGAGCTTGCCACAGTCTTCAGGGGCGACCTCCCGTGCCGCAGTGGGGACGGCCATCCTGTGATCACTCACGGTGGGAAGGGGACGGCTCCCCTCACCATCAAGACCAGGCAGAACAAAGAGAGTGCAGACAGGCGAGATGGCTCCTAGTGTTATAGCTGGACTTTCTACGCAGTGCCTGGCTGCTACAAAAACGCTTCTGTAGGGTGAATGATGAACATTTCGTCACTATTTCAAAGTCTCAGTATCTCCGGCAGGTGATCGTGGTATGTGTTATCTGGGAAACTAGGCTGGTGTGACTGCAGCTGTAATTAATAACACCTGCTATACATAATGCTGAAATGTATGCATAGGGCATACATTTAGAAATTACTGCATTGCACTAAAATAGAAAAGTCCAAAGGACTCTTCTATTGATCCATAACAAAACTTAAATTACTCAAAAACAAAGAATGTTTATTAATCAGATATCATTTGACATTTTAGTCAGAGAGTATGGTAACATTTTATCCACTTAGAAACTGATCAGTTTCTTGAACAACACTTTTTAAAACATAAAAACAAACCTAAAAAAAAAAAAGTTAGGTCTCTTATAGGATGTGTAATTTCCTCATTATGATGGAATGCAACAAAATATCTTGCCCTTGGGTTGCTCAGTTTCAGCCGAAACAAATGCAAATGGCATGTCAGATGACAGCTGTTTGATAAGGCTCCTCTACAAGACCTGCATGCTTTACTTTTTTCCGTGAAACTTGGGATGAAAGGCAGAAGGCAGGAAGAGAATTAATGTAGCATACAGTCTAAAGGCAATGCTACAACCGTGATTAAGTAGAAAAGTTAAAAGGCACAGATTTTCCACAGCTTCGCTGCATGCAACCCATCCGTGTAACAAGTTGACAGGCCTAGCGCGTCAGCTCCATCATCCCCTCCGACAGCTAAAACGCTGCATTGCATCCCTTTTCAGAGAAAATTTGCGTCTGCACCATGAAGCGTTGTACATTATTTCTTAGCACTGCAGGGGGCTCAAGTCCATATGGAACCTTCACAAATATTACCACAGATCAAACCGGCGGCGTTTGGAGGCAGATTTGACATACCTATTTAAATGAACAGCAGGGGTCCTCGGGCAGCCTCGGGCTGTGCGGGAGAGAACCTCTACGAGCCGCCCCAGCCGCAGCTCCATTACTCAGCAAAGACACACTCTACATTTATCATTCATTTCATTTCTGCCAGGGCAAGAAGCTCATTTGCCCAAGGTCAACAAAAAGCGAAAAGAAGGTTTTCTTTTTTTTCCCCAAGAAATAAATGTACCTGACAAGTGGGAATTTTGTCCTTTGGGTTTGTGGAGCACAAATAAACAGCAGATAATTCTAAAAAGCAGAGTAAATGTGTGCACTGATTCAAGCCACTGCAATCTGACTGTAGATGGGGGAAGCCCAATAAATATTTCTGAAACTTTAAAAAAATCATATAACGAGTAAAATAGAACTTGATATCATGTTCTAAAAATAAAAACAGAATATTGGCATCCGGCCTTTTTTTCCACAGCAATTCTGGGGAACTCTTCCGAATTTGCACACTATCAGATACTTATAGCTCTGAAAACAAAACAAAAATTGTTCACAGCACCCTAAATGCAGTTGGAAGTCAAACTGTAATAAAATCATTTCTTAGGTTGTTTCGGGGCCCAAATTCTAGGCTCGTCCACTGCATTAATCTATGAAAGGTAAAAATTGTATATAAATAATAAAAAACAAATGAGAAGTAACCATTTGATTCTTTTTCAAGGCAAATGCCTCAGAGCCCCTGACAGCATCATACACTTGGCCTCCTCCTTCCATACTCTGGAAGCACATGCACACACTATATAATTGAGCTGAACATCTATCTTCCAACATGATTTCAATTTGTAAGTAAAAGCATTTTACAGACAAACCATTCTGATATAAATTCTATAAAGTTTACCTTTAGCAAAATGAATTAATATAAATCATTTCATCAACACACTGTCTTACCTCTAGAAGTCTTATTTTTGCCCATTATAAAATACTAGGTAAATTCTGAAGCTGAGAACAGTATCCAGTATAACTAGTTTTGTAGCTTACAGCTTGTATTATTTATCATAAATGCAATATACTTACATGCATTAATGAATAGTATGACTGTTTGCCAGTATAGAAGAGATAGTGAAATGGACGGCCATCTTCTCCCCACTGGATTGCTGATAAAAAAACCAGATGAAAACAAATAAAAATATACACAGAGACAGACCAAATAGCTGCATTTAACCACAGTTAGGAGACACATTTATAATTGAGTAACAAAAAATACAAAAATCACCAACATTTAGAATTTTGATATTTAGTTTAGCATATTTATATGCAAATATTTAGGATATTTAATATTTCATACCATTAACATAAAACAATGTTTACATTTAATTTAAAAATTACTAAATATTAATTATGAGAATTTCTGTAATTTGTTTCAAATAAAAGCTTATAAAATAGCCAAAATCGTCTTGTTAGAATAAAAAAATTTAGGCTTGGCTATACACATAATGCCCTCCCATATTTTTAGAAGGGAAAACTGATAAAGTAAACAACGCAGTACATTCAGAGAATCTAAAACAGGTAAACAAAGATGAAAACTAACGAATGTATTTTTCTATGCTACATCATTTGTTTCAACCCTGTGGTGAGCCACCTCCGAGTGTAAAACATCGACAACAGAAGGGCCTCAAAAAGGTGTTGGGTGCAATTCCTTCTGGAATACACATGACCATTCACATCTAACTAACCACCACCAAGCAAACTGAGAAGTGGTGTTAGTCTAAGAAACAAGACAAATGCTAACTCTGTGTCCTCTGCCCATGCTATCTCTGTTGAGATGCTTCTCTGAAGCAGATTATCCTCCTTGGTCCATTACAGAAGTTGTAAACTATTTTCCCCCAGGCCGTCACTTGCCTTTTACTTTTACTTACGTTACCTTTCATAATTGAGAAGTTTAAAACATGTAAATAGTCAAATCTGTCGCTTTTCCTCTATGGCAGTGTGACTTGTTTTTTCATGATTCATCCCATGAAGGAATCCTTTACAGGCATTTTCTCCCTAATTGCAGCCCCCCCATGAAATGTTAATACCACAGGCACACTACACATCTGCTGACGTATAGTGTGGCCCACCGGAGGGCCACAAACCATTGGAACAGCTAGGTTTCCCCACCCTCGTGAACTACTCTTTGCCCCCACTGAGGAAACATGCTTTAAGGCTTAGGGCTCTCTAAAATTATTTTCTTGTATTTCTTTTGGAATTTTTATTTATTTTCATGTTCAAATATTTAATCTATTGGAATTTATGTTTGTGAGGCAGAAATCCAAGAACTATTTTGTCCAGCAAAGAGTCATTATCTCTCTACAGTTTTTTGAATAGTACAGGCTTTTCTATCGAAATACCACCTGTATTATATAGGAGGATGTCTTTCTTCTGAAACAAAGACCACATTTTCATAATAAATGTTGAAAAGAAAGTCTTGCTTGGCTACTTAGCTTGAAAAACCAAATTCTTATTTGCTAATGGCTTATGGATGATTTCAGCACTTTTCCAAAATCATTGTCATAGGCTTCATGAATCAAATCCAGCATATTTTCTAATATTTTTCTTTTCTTATGCAATTGATTTTCACTGTATGGTTAGTCTGTCAGAAAGTGATAAAAAAAAGACAAACATCATGGTTGCACACAAGACTCTACTGGTAAGCTTGAAGATTTGTTTGAGTTGAGTCTCATATCATGGGATTGATTTCATTACATATGTGAATGTGTATACATACACACACACACACACACACACACTCACTCTTGACTTCACTGAACCTAAGGTATCATAGATTTTAAGATGCCGCATCATGTATCCTATATATCACAAAGAAAGAGAAAAAATACGGTCAAACCACGATATGTATCATATTCACAAAAATTGTAAAGTGTTTCCTGCTGTCAGACATTAAAATTTGAGGGAAAAAAAAAGTCCTAGAATTAACTAAGTAAGGCACAAACATATGCTGCCAGTACTCTGCTCATTGGTCTGTCTACTCTGCGTCAGTAACCGCCATTTTAATTAGCAGAGCTTTTTGCTGGGTTTTGATACCAGGTATGAGCTCCCTTCATTACTTAAAAAAATTTTTTTAACCACTGCTTCTTGCACAATTAGACTTGACAAGTTTCTCCCAAAAGCTGTACCAAAACTTTAAGTAAAATTATATTCAATTTATCAATAATTTAGAAAGCAGCAATTTTGGAATACTGTCTTCCCTTAGAGAACCATGGAAGTTTTCCAACTATTCAGATTTTCACTTCTGATCTTTAACTGAGTATCCTAATTCTCCATATAAATCTCATATATTTTGCAAGTCTTATTTGTGTATTTTAGTTTCTGTTTCTCTTGATACTGCCCTCCCCTATTCAGTTATCTATAATACAAAAGTAACTTTACACAAGTAACACATACTTCCCAGATCGTATGTTAAAATTCTTTTGCCAGAGCAAGGCGGGAGCTTATCGTTCTGGACTCTCTGTGCATTTACGTATGTATGCCTGCATGAAATAGGATTGTCTGTGTGGGTCTTTTAAAGATAAAAGATTAAAAAGATTAAACTGTATTTATGCTACATACACCATTTTTACTTGCTTTTTCAACTCAACAATGTTACACCTCTACTAGCACAACTAGCTCTATCTCACTCTTTTTACGGCCTATATATTATTCCACAGCATGAGTTTATTTAGCCACCCTGTGATGAACATTTAGACTCTTTCCAATTTGTTGCTGATACAATATTTACAATTTCCAATCTGATGGGTGACAATTGCCTCTCATTATTGTTTTACAAGATGTTATTTCTGACCTCTGATATTTTCAAATGTTTACTGGTAGTTTAATTTTTTCCATTTATGAATTGCTTATTTTCCTTTGCTCATTTCTCTAGTAAGCTGTTTTTGTTAATTTATGAGTAATTTATTCTAGGTATCAGGCCTCCGGCACATTTCAAATTTTCTGGTGTCTTTGTCAAAGAGAAATTTTTAACTTCAACATAAATAATTTATCATCTCTGTCCTTTAGTTTTTGTGATTTAAGGACATAATATCTGTTACTTTAAAAGTATTGAAAGCTGTATGTATATTCTTCAACTAGCCACTTTATTTCTGTTCTAGAGTTTGAATTTCTTAACTCCAAAAACACACAATAATTTTTAAAGTCTTGACCAAACTCTGTTATCTTCTGCATACAGCCTATTTTTCAGCATACCATTAAATGAATTGAGAAAAGGAGGTACATGCATGCATATACATACGAATGTGTCTGTATGAATATGTAGATATGTATTCGTATAGTTGGAATTCAGTGTTTTTAACAGTTCTTGTCTGCCAAAATACATAAAGGAAGTGAAAGATTGCAATTCATTTGCTACCAATAAGACCATCATGTTACTTAGATCATCATTACATGCCATCCCATACTGATTTCTTTGTGTGTAGATGTGGCCGCCACAGAGTCATGAACTGACAGGATGCTCATATGATCTCTGCAGGATCAGCATTTCACCCTGTAACTACACTGTGGCCTGCTTGTATAAGAGGGTATCATTTTGTAAATTTTTAGAACAATTCATGGTTTCAATGTTTTGAATTCAGGGACCCAAATAATGGTAGTCCAGTGAAATTCTAATACAGTTTTTAGTGTAGGTTTTCCATTTTCTAAGCAGGCAGTCATAACATCTGTGAATAATCATCAATTTTCCTAATTTCTTTCAGTTTTCTAATTCATACTTTTTTCCTTTTTAAGCCACACTTTTTTTTAACCATGCTAGTTAAAACTTCCAAAACAATGCCAAATAACAGAGGTGAGTATGCACGTACCTGTCTTATTCCTGAACCAGGATCTATTGATATATTTTAAATTTGATGTATTTCTGTTTGTCATGATAGGCTTTCTCAAACTAGAAAGTTTCTTTTTATTTCTAGTTTGTGTTTTTACCAAAAAAATTAATGCTCAATTTTGTTAACTTTTATTTATTGAAATGTTTTAATCTTGACTCAACACAGAGAACTAGATAAATCATTTTTATTTTCCCGGAGAGAAAAAAGGCCCTCTGGTATATTCTCTTAATATAAAGTTTACTTGGTTTGCTAGTGTTTTATTTGGCGACAACAGACTATAGGTTTCTTTTTCATGAAATTTGTGTCCAGATTTGATAATTGTGTGAGCCTCTGAAGGGAATTTGGAAGTTTCATTCTTTTCTTCTGCTCTATAACAGTTTAAATGATAACAATAGTTACATCCTCCTTCAAAGTATGTCAGAACTTCCTGACAAAACCTTCTGGGCCTGGGCTTCTTTCATTAGACCTTTGGTGCCCTTTGATAACTTCTGCAGCTTTTAGATTAACACAGGGGTACCCAACCCCTGGACCACGGACAGGTACCAGCTTCTACTGATTTTTTTTTTTTTTTTCCTACTGATTTTTATTTGCTGTCATGACTGGTCAACTGGGACCAGAGTGAGTGTTTCACAATAAGAGCACTTGGTTCTATAGCAAGCATCCCCAGCCCCTAGGCCACAGACCAGCATAGCTTCATCTGTATTTATAGACGTTCCCCATTGCTCACATTACCGCCTGAGCGCCACATCCTGTCAGATCAACGGTGCCATTAGATTCTCATAGGAGCGCAAACCCTATTGTGAACAGCACACGCAAGAGATCTATGTTGCGTGCTCCTTATGAGAATCTAAGGCCTGATGATCTGTCACTGTCTCCCATCACCCCCACACGGGGCCATGTAGTTGCATAAAAACAAGCCCAGGCCTCACACTGATTCTACATTATAGTGAGTTGTATAATTATTTCATTGTATCTTACAATGTAATAATAGAAATAAAGCTCACAATAAATGTAATGAGCTTGAATCATCCCGAAACCATCCCCCAACCCCTGGTCCGTGAAATCGTCCTTCACAAAACTGGTCCCTAGTGCCAAAAAGGTTGGGGACCACCAGTTTAACCAATACTCTCCTGATTAAGACATCTGTGGCAATTATATTATTCTTTCAACTACATGTCTGAGAGTCAGTTGAGTCTGGTGGTCATACATATATGTGTGTGCCACAACTGCCTGGGCCTCTTTACATTCTGGCTCAACTATTTCCTGGCTGTTATGTCCTTGGTAAGTTAAACTCCATGTGCTTTTCATTCCTACATTTGTGCAGTGGGGGAAATTATAGTATCTACTTAATAAACCTATTGTGAAGAGTGTAAGTTAACACATAGGAAGCACTTAGAATTATGCCTGGTCTACTCTGTTTCAATAAACGCTAACAATTCTTACTTGAGAGATTTTTCAAGTTAGAAGAAAGTTACCCATAACAATTGTATACTTTAAAATTACCCTCTGAATATTATTATTTACAGTTCTTAATATTGCCCTCTTATGTTTTCTCTTTTTTCCCTGGCCAGATTTGCCAGAAGTTGATTGACTTCACTAGCTTTTTCAAAGAATGACATGGTTTTGTTTATCATACACCTTCTTTTAAATTTCTTCGCTATGCTCCTCTATTCGATTTTTCTTTTTCTGGCTTCCTGAACTGAAAATTTAGTTCATTTATATTCATTCTTTCTTAATTTCTAACAAATATATGCTTGTCTCTGTATAATACAATGTCCATATTCCATAGGATTTAACTGTTTTCATTGTCATGTCTGTAACCTCAATTTTGATTTTCTCTTTAATTCAACAGTAATATGGTTTTACTGATTTTAACTCAGAAAAATCTAACGATATGATTTTTACTACTTGGAATTCGTTAGGTTTTCTTTATGGCCAATTACATCATAATTCTAGTAATAGTCCATAGGCCTCTGCATAGAAAATGTATTCTTTGTATCTGTAACTATAAAATCATGCTGTGTTATTCAAATTCGTTAGAGCCTTAGTTAACAGCTTTTGCTTTAAATATTTCAATGCTAAATGTTGGTGCAAAAAGGTTTGTGGTCATCAAATCTACTCAATGGAGATAAGGTTTTATCAACATAAATTAACATTCTTGTTTCATTGAAGTATTATTCACACTCCTTGAATTCCATTTTGTCTAATATGAGGTGCTACTCTTTGCTCCTGTTGACCCAGTAGTTATCTTTGTTTCACCTAATATTTTTATCACTTGCTTTAAATCATAAAGAGCAAGACTTTTATGTTAACTCAATCTAGAAGCTTCCGTCTTTTAATAAGGAAAGTATTAGTACGCTATAAGTGTCATAATCTACCCAAATCTAAAATTCACTGGTACTTTTTTAGCATACAAAAAAATCAGTTTATCCTTTATTTACGAAATACAACAAAATTGGGAGGTAGGTACATAAGCAACAAAAAATATTTTACTAATTCTCAAGGAGTACTGTTTACATATAGCTACATATAGTAAACTACAACTTAAGATAATCCTACCAGAAGTGACATATTTTCAAAATAACACATGGGCATTTTGCAGGGATATATAGAAGTTTCAGTTGTTACAACCTGGCTGCTAATAACAATAAACTTCTAATACTGAGAAGCTGGTACAATTTGAAAGAACAAACCAGTCTTAGGGGGCAGATGTATAAGAAGAGATGCAACTAGCAGAGATATAAAGAACGAAGAGAGAGACAGAGAAATAGGTGGGGAGCCTGAGAGGTTAAAAAAATAGAAGAGTTAGTAAAGAAGAAGAAGAAAAAAATCATTGTTATTACAAACATTTACTGAAAACTTACTAGGTGTTTAATATAAGTTACTGTGCCCTGTGCATAGTTTTATTTCTGTAACACTTGAGTTGTATCTGCAAAAGTGATGTGCACTTTTAACATAGTCTTCATTTATTATTTCCCCAAAAGCTATTGTTAGATTGATGGTATAATTTATAATCAACTATGTCTAAGAATCGAGGAAATACCAATGATAGAGCATATTTATAAAAAGATTCAAAACATTTATAACAAGATTCAAACTAAAAGTTATCATTTCCAAGAGTGAACTGGAGTGAGAGAATAAATTCCTAGCTTTGAATGAAAATAGAACTTAGCAGAAATACCACTGCAAAATAAATAAGTCTCCTATGGAAATATCTGCTATCTTACCAATTTTTATTTAATTCTAAACACACTGATAAAGCGGCCTGTACATTGAGCACCTGTGGCCACCCAGCTGTTCTCAAGTAGATCCACACATTTTTGCCGCTGAGTTTCATGCTTACTAGTAGTTGTGTTTACTCCCAAGCCTACTTTATTGCAGTTGTACTTATTTCTATAAATACATGAATTAAGTATTACATAAATAAATGAAATATGAGTGCAAACATAAAGTTCCTACTTCTAGGAAAACTAGGTTGAATGCTCTAGAAAGGCAAGTTGCTAAAAAAAAAAAAAAGTCATGCCAACTTCAGTGAGGTTGATGGGAAGAATTTATAGAAATACAAAAATACTCTGCACTCAGATTTCTTAGGAAGTGTAAGTTCACTGCTCCACTGCAAGAAAATCAAAAGTGAAAGACTGCGATGATGCATCAGCGGCATAGTTATATAAAAGCTGCGGGGAGGAGCAGACACACAACCACCAAACCTCTAGGGTCACAGCAAAAGCTTGATGGGTAAGCAAGTTACATTTTGAGTGTTTTTTTAAAGAAATGATTTCTAGCTTTAATACTTTTTAAGTTAACAGAGAACTACTGGTCCTCACTGGATAAGAGGCTTCTAATGTATAGTAAATATATTAATCAATTTCTTGGCAACCTTAAAGCTTGCTGTGTATTTTTTTCAAGATTTTTTTTTTACACATTTAAAAGACAAAGAGAACATCTTAATAGAAGCCAGAGAAAACAGGAGACACAATGAGAAGATGGCTAACTGCTCACTAGAAGCATGTAAGACAAGCCAATGGAATTACATCATTAAAGTATTGAAAGAACAGAAAATAAAATCTATAGTCAGTGAAAATGTGCTTCCAAAATCAAGGAAAGTTTTAAATTTTCTTATAAACAGAAGTTGAATTAGTTGCCAGCAGCTCTGTACCAAACTCTCCCTCAAAAGGACATGTTGGAAAGCAAATAATTAGTGACATTCGTATAGTCATAAGCTCTAACCCCCTCTAATTTTAGTATTTAATTTAAAAGATATGGTTTGCAAACTTCACTCATTCATTGTTAGTTACAAAATTTTTTGACCTACTTCACAACTACCGTGACACAGGAGGGCCACCCTACAATATGTGAGCAACTGCTGATACATAACCTGACACGGAACTACGGTAAAGAAAAAACTGTTGATCTCATTCTTGAACCAACTTACCTCTTTGTTTTGGAAAAATCTGTTCAGGATGCTGTAAAATAAATTAATAATGTATTAGATAATTATCGTAACATATAAAAGTGAAATTTTTAAAATAGTAATTAAAATAACTACCTTCATTATTGGCCTGGCTCGTTTCTCAAACAAACCACTTGGGAAAAGGTAAGCAATAGCTCTCTGAAAATACACACAAAGGTTAGTTAACAACTGTTACATAAAAAAGGTTAGAACTAATAGTTATAGAGTGCTTTCTAAAGGCTGAACATTGAATTAGAGTTTCAAAGCATTATCTTATTGCATAATTGTTTCAATGGGATGATAAAATTACTACACATTCATCCAAAAAGAAAAAATTTTAACAATTAAACTGGTTATTGACACTTTTCAAGTGTGAGCTTTAAATGTGTCATTCCTTGAATATGAAAGCACAAATAATCTCTCTTTTATTTTTAAAGGATCACTTAGAGATGCTCCTGTCCAGCTTCTGTGGAAATGTGCTTAAGAGCAATTGTTTCAGCTCCCAGCTGGTCGTGCACATACCAAAGAGCAGGCTGCAAAGAGCAGGCTCTAAGTCTCACCCACTATGACACCCCTGATGTCTTCAGATGGTCTTTCAACTTTTTCCAGAGTTTTTAAACTACACTCTTCCCAAACAAGTTCTTCTTCCATGTCTGTTTTTCAATAGGGATGCTGCTGGCATTGTGGGTGTGACAGCTCCATCACAGGCACCCTTCTCCCATACTGCAGGTCATTGAATATTCCTGGCTTTTTTCCAGTTGACACCAGTAATACCCAGTGCTCGTGATAAATCTCACCCCCACACCTTTCCAAATGCCCCTACATCCTAGGGAGCAGCACTGCCTCCCAGCTGAGAACAATAGCTTAAGCCTGTATAGTGTCTTCTCCAATACCCTGCCTCACCATTAACAACAAAATGTACACTTTCCTTCTTGTTGAACAGTGCCAGAGGAAGAGTCCACGGCCTGGGACCCGGCAGTGCATTTAAATACACTTCTGCTCGTTTAGAGAGCCTGTTCTGAGTGGGCCTTCTCTGCCCGCCCACATAGTAAATGTGTTGGATCAGACTTTGCCCCCGAAAGGAGAGGTCTATAATTTGGAGGTATAAATTCAGTCATATTAGGAAGCCTAATTGTGTCTCTGGGTCAAGCTTCATTCTCTCATTCAGCTTTTTTCAGAACAAAATTACACTTCAAACAAAACAAAAAACCTAGGTCAGGCACGGTGGCTCACACCGGTAATCCCAGTGCTGAGGGAGACTGACGTGGGTGGATGAGGCCAGGTGTTATAAACCAGCCTGGGCAACATGCTTTGTCACGCAGGCTCGAGTGCAAAATAAACAAACAAATAAAAAACTTTGATCAAACATCAGTGTGCCCCTTTAGCAAACTTTTTTGTTTTAACTAGGTCCCGCTCCAGCCACCCCCTTCCTTCGCTGCAGGGAAAAAAGGTAGGCTTTTTCTTTTATTAGAGACAGGACCTCACTCTGTCGCTGAGGCCGGAGTGCAGTGGCACAATCATGCTCACTGCAGCCTTGACCTCCCAGGTTCAAGCAGTCCTCCCACTCCAGCCTCAGGAGTAGCTGGGGCTATAGGCTTGCACTACCACACCCAGTTAATTTTTTTTTTCTTTTTCTTTTCTTTTTTTTTTTTTTAGAGACGAGGGTCTTACCATGTTGCTCAGGCTGGTCTTGAACTCTTGAGCTCAAATGATCCTCTGGCCTTGGCCTACCAGTATTGGGATTACGCACATGAGCCTTAATAAGTGATACTACGACTGATTGCCATTTGGGAAAAAAAGATACAACTGAAATCCAAACCTCACATCACATAGCAGAGTAAACTCCAAATGAGTGAGAGGGCTACACATACAAAATAAAAACAAATACATATGACACGGGTGAATTCCTTTATAACTAAGAAACGGGAAAGTCTTTCATAACTATGACTCAAAATTTATAAGTAATTTTTAAAAAAAGATTGACAGGCCAGGCTTGGTGGCTCACGTCTGTAATCCCAGCACTATGGGAGGCCAAGGCGAGTGTATCACCAGGTCAGGAATTCGAGACCAGCCTAGCCAACATGGTGAAACTCCGTCTCTACTAAAAATACAAAAATTAGCTGGGCATGGTGGCGGGCACCTGTAATCCCAGCTACTTAGGAGGCTGAGGCACGAGAATCGTTTGAACCTGGAAGGCGAAGGTTGCAGTGAGCCAAGATCACCCCATTGCACTCCAGCCTGGGCTACAGGGCAAAACTTGGTCTCAAAAAAGAAAAAAAAAGATTGACCAATTAAATTATATTTTTAAAAGAAATATATGGCTCATAACAAGATAAGTGCAATTAAAACCACTGAGAGAACACTTTTTATCTAACAGGACTAGCAAAAGTTCAAAAGTCTGACAGCACACCGTTGGTGAGGCTATAAAAAACACCCTGCCACCTTGCTGGTGGGAATGCCAACCAAGTGCTATAACCTCTTCAGTGGGAAGGTGGGAGCTTTCTAACAAAACGACATACATATTTCCCTAGCCATCTGACTCGATGAATTTACCCAGAAGATACACCCCTATGAATACAAAAGAACATAAGCACGCGTTATTCACTGATTTATGAGAACAAAATACTGAAAACAACCAAATCTCCATACATAAGAGGTTGGTTGAATAAATGAGGGCACATCTGTGCAATCTAGTACTATAGAGCTGTAAAACAGAGAAAAGCCAAGATACAAAAGAAATGTACCTAGAACGCTGCTTTGGTGTAAGAAATAGAAAAAGAAAAGGCATGTAAGTATAGGGGGAAAATACGCATAAGCTTCTTTTTGCAACATAAACACAAAAAAAGGTAACTAGAAACCAATAAAAATCATTTCTCAAGGGCTGGGTGAGAGTAGAGGGAGGGGCACAGGGATGAGGGCAAACTCCTGTGGGCATCCCTCGTATAGTTAAGCTCTGAAGCATGTAAACGTTTTATATATTAAAGAATCATGTTTATAAAGAAACTAAAAATATAACCAGAAACAAATAACAACAACAAAACAATTGCAAAGAAATCTTCATCTTTACTTGGCAGGCTTATGGCCAGTCAGAACATGGATATTATAATTCTGAAATATTTTATGTATACTGCAGCATAAAGCAAATAAGTAAATATATTAATTTTATGAAGACCAATATTTTATTATAGAAGAGATCCAAATGTAAAAGGGAAAACCCTATAATGTTAAGTAATATAAACTCTTATCTTAAAAACTATTTCTTGTAATATTCAAAAAATATTATTTCCTAGTTCTGTTCCCTGAAAAAGCATAAAGCAATGGAACTTTAGGAGCAGTGGGAGGATCAACTGGTTTCTACATACACCCGAGTATAAGGAACCAAGTACCTTGGAGAAATGGCTGATTCTAGGCATAAGGCAGACAAAGCACAAAATGAGTCTGATCCCTTTTTAGAGACAGTGAGATCCCAGCTCTACAAAAAAAATTTTTTAGAAGTGTGGTGGCACATGACTGTAGTCCCAGCTACTTAGGAAGCTGAAGCGAGAGGAATGCTTGAGCCCAGGGGTTCAAGTCTGCAGTGAGCTATGACAGCGTCACTACACTACAGCCTGGGTGGTAGAGCAAGACCCTGTCTCTAAAAATAAAAGAATAATGATAATGCTTCACAACATACTCAATATGTGACATGCACGTTCATGTGCACGCACACACCTGCACATATACATACACACACACACACACACACACACTCGGGAGGAGGGGCAAGAAGAAAAAGAAAACTACTTTACAGAACAATATGTTATAAAAGTAAAAGTAATGACAGAAGTAGAAAATCACCATTTTACAACTTCCAAATTAACCATCAATTTCAGGCAAGGATCACCAACAAATGCTAAAGCCACTGGCTGAAAGGTTACTGAAGAATGGCAAATTCACATGAACTCAAAATATTACCCTATGGATTGGTTACAAAGGGAAAAGGCTACTTCTACAATAAAGAGGTCTAGTGGTCACCACTAGAGGGATCAGTCACAGCAGGACAAACTGACTATGTACCTCTTAGACTTTGTGGATGCAATGAGAAGTATACGATATCACCTAAGTAGTATCCTTTATACATTCTAAATCTGATCATGAGAAAGCAAGCAGAAAGCCAGGATGTGACACAATTGTACAAGACAAGTGGCCTGGATTCTACAAAACAACTAGTCAGCTATAAAGACATTCTGGGGAAAACTGAGGAAATGTTCATGAAGATTATATATATGGCATATAGAATTATTATAATTGTATCAGATGTGATAATGATATTGTGGGAGATAATGGTATGAAGAATGTACGCATTTAGAATGGCATGAAGAATGTACCTATACATATTGATATATTTCGGGGCTAAGTTTATGTGCAATTTTCAATAAAAAATGTTTTACATATACAAAGAGACAAAGAAAATGTGGCGAAATGTTAAAATCTGGCAAATCTAGGTGATGGGGGTATGTGTTTATTTTTATTCAATGCATATTGAAGTTTTCTGGAAATTTGAAAAGTTTCAAAATAAAAAGGTGGGAAAAAAATGTTAAAAATTTAAAAATAAATAAGATTTTCCCAAACGCAACCTGTCTCAGTAAAGCCAACAGTAGCCTATAGCACTTGTGGCCCATCTAGACCTCAGGCCTCGTTCTCAGTCGTACAGGGCAGCCCAAGGCTGGCTGGCATCTTAGCAAAGGGACCACTGAAGCCAGGGCCTGGATCAGAACACTAGACGGCGTGGAAGACTAAGCACAATTCTTCAACTTAGAGTGAACACACTGTAACCACAAAGGAGACAATTCAATCAAGTTTCAAACTGTCATTGGCATCATTTCCAAATATGAAAATCACTGTTAACTTACGTGACCAATGAATAGAATCCTAGAGGGAAACGAAAATTGAAGAATTGCAACCTACAGCTGGATTTGTCACGAAGACCAAGACAGAAAAGTCAGGAGGAAGCTAATGGGTGGAAACTGAAAAGAAAGCATCGATTGCAAAGGATGTCTAGGGCTTACGGGCAATCTCTCTTTTAAAAAGACGAAATAAGCCAACAAAGAATTTGCTAGAAGTCTTTTGAAAGTATCGGAAAATGTGGTTTTGCCTTTAAAAATTTTTCTCAGCTAAAA